TTTTTTTTTTTTTTTTTTTTTTTTTTTTTTTTTTTTTTTTTTTTTTTTTTTTTTTTTTTTTTTTTTTTTTTGTAGAGCTCTTAACGAAAAAAGTACAAGAGAAATCAACTGGGAATATTATTTTTGCTAATGGCCAAATGTAGGATTTTCCCGAATTGAGTTGGATTTCCTAATTCTTCCTCCCTTCACACAAGATGATATGGTACCCATGCCTGCATTACACCGAAGCAAAAATGTGAGTTCTGCGGTGTATTCATAGCTCATTCACAGCACCAGGAGAATCTTGACTTTGCAAAAAGAATCCCAGGTCCCCATCTTATTATATCAACAGTCACTCTAATTAATCCAAACCTTAACCCAGACTAACATATAAAGGATGAATTTTCAGTATTAAGCAAAAATAGAAGTACGTGGTCATAAAGGAAAAATTCAGAATAGAAAACCCAACGGAAACAATCAATTACAATAAAAGAAATTGGAGAAAGGACATACGTTGACTTGAATGGTGCACTGGTTGCTCCAATTAAAGTGCTGAATGCAACGTCTTGAAATGGGCCGGCCATTTTTCCACGAGGAAACCATCCCAGGTCCCCACCTTTTTTCCCTGATGGACACTCTGAGTATTCTGCTGCTAACTGAGATACCAACCAGATTGTTATAAAGTGTTGTTATCAGTTGGAAATATACCCACAAAAACCCCTAATTTCCATTCATCAATGAGAATGCGTATGGGTTGTTCAGAAAGTAAGGTACCTTTGTTCAGACAATGTGGAAACATTAATCTTTGCAATGAAATATAGATGAATATGAAAATGTTACAATAAAATCCTAGCAACCACTGCTTGCTGTATTTGATGGGCAGCATATGTTTACGTTTATAGACAACTAACAAATAGAACCCAACTTTATTGATATGAAAGATAAAAGAAATTACAAAATCAATATCACTCTCCTCTTCTTCCTGTTTAGTCCCTTCCGTTTCTTTCTGTTTCTTAGTAAGAATGAGTGACGGTATTCTGCCTAAATAGTAGACACGGGTAATAAATAAGAGAATATTAAAGATTCGGAATTTCTCAATTCTGACACAAGGTACTTATTAGATCTAATAAAATTATTTTGCTGTATCCAGACTAATATCAATCCAACCCATTTCATGAATAAAATGTGACCAATTAACCAACCAACAAAACGACTTGTTACAAATAACATCTTGTTGTTTCGAAACATAGAAATATTGACTAATCTGACTAACGTTGAACTTGGTAAAATGAAAGGGTTAGAATAATTGAAAAACAAAATTATTCAGGCAAGTATTCAAGGGACTTGGAACCACCCTCCTCTCTTGACATATCATTCAATACCTAATCTAAGAGAATGGACGACTTCACAACCAAGCAGATGAGCCCAGCCCTTCACTTCTGAGCATTGAAATTATTCCTAAGACTAAACATTTTTCTTTGTAGATGATAAAACCGAGATCTCTTCAAACATAATGAACACTATAACCATTGTCTGTCATATCTTTTCTATAAGAAAACCTTGTATGACATTCTAATCTTGGAATAAGATGTATAATGTATTCACAAACAAAGTTTGTATCAAAGTAAGAGGTCATACGTTCAAACTCTTCTAGTCTTAGTTCCTCAAATCATCTTGTTTCTCACAGAGTTAGTCAAGGAAGTAAGTTACAAGAAGGATGACTTCAGTCAAGTAAAATGAGACTCAAGTCCACACATGAGAGGGAGTGTTAACAAAGATTAAGTTTACTCAAATCTACCCATTCAAACCTTTGGGTTTACCAGTAATTAAAACCCGCGAAAAAAGAAAGAAAAACAAATAAAACTCTAGCAAACCTCCAAATTCATCTCTATTAACATCCACTACCAATGTAAACAACCAAAATCTACGCTGTCATTTGTTTGGTGGGAAGCTAAAAATCTCATAGGACAAGTATCTAGATTCTTGCATTGTTTGACAAGCATGTAGTGTACCTAAACAACTTAGGATGACCATATGGGAGGCATGTAAGGACCTTTTGATGTCGTCTTGAATCCTATTTGTTTTTTCTTTCTTTTTCTTTGATAGGCATCATAAAAGATGAGATAAAATTAAAAACGGGAGTTCCTATCGATGGATTACAAAAAATTTCTCTAATTTGTCATAAGATTAGAAAGACCATAATACCAAAAAAGGGACTCAACTCACACCAAATGAGAAATAAAAATGTAGTAGAAATGAGGACAACTAAAAATACGAGAGTTCCGCTCATGCCAAGTAGTCCAATGTCATGGTCAATTCATGGATTTCAAAGATTCCAATGTCTAGGGAATCTTCTCATGACAATTTTGTTTCTCTCTTTTATATATATGTTCGTTCACCATTTTTCTTTATTTGTGCTTTTTTATGGTATATTTAAAACAAATCAACACGTTTTTCAAGAAAAACGAAAAAAACAAATCAAAGTATTTATTCGCTTGCAAGGATTATATGCAATTATCTCTATTCATTAACTATATTTATATATCTGTACATGTAAAATAGAAAACCATTACCAAAGACAATGGTTCGATCCTCCACCTCCACAATTATTTAGCTTAAAAGAAAACTTTAAGAAAAAATAAACAGCAGTTGCCTTAAACAACGGAGATTGCTCTAGGAGTAGAAGTGGACTAATAATTGAAAAAAAGTATATGGCTACAGGAGATTATGCTTGTTTGAACTTTAACCATATAAGCTAAGGACTTCGGTAAACCGATTGAATACTAAGTTAGTTCCTTGGTTCGTCCAACCATATACACAGCTCAAATCAAATCAGCTACATATAGGTTACTATGGAATAATAACAACACTTCTCAATGACAACAACCCTATGCCTATATAGCTTCTCATCCAACCCATGAAAATACTCTGCCTCAACACGAACTGACCTCAACCACCCATGACACCGTTCATACACCTAAACACAAGAAAATAAAAGGGATATACATATTCTCGGTCTCTCTATCAAAGTCTTTGAATGTATCCCATAAATGTCTTGATAATCTTATGTGTACAAGTAATACACCATCTGAGCATTAAATTATAAGAAACAAGACCTATCTTGGGAAGCCAATTTACTAGAGAAGGATAAAACATTCAGCCCTTGGAATGAAATTCAGTTGCCTAGCACATAGAATTCAATAAAAAGGATTGCTTCCTTTGCTACTTTGTCCCTCCTCACGAGCATCTTAACTAGCTTACAAAGTACAAAATCTTAATTAATTACATAGTACTGTAGGCTAAATCAAAAACCTTTGAAGTTTAAGAGGCAGTCTTAAGATATTAATATTCCAAGTAACCCCATCAGTGACTTTGAGACCTAATATGCAATAAGGTAACAAAATATCGTTTAGATCATTAGTAAATTCATAGTGGTTATCTCCTGCATTTACCAATTCACCACATTTAAAAAAAGAAGACGAATGTAATAATTTTTCCTCTTCGAAACTGTTAGGAATCACGGATCTCCACAATTGTACAATATTGTCCACTTTGAGCATAAGCTCTCATGGATTTTCTTTAGGCTTCCCCAAAAACCTCATCCCAATGAAGATGTATTCCTTACTTATAAATTTATGATCATTCCTAAATTAGCGAATGTGAGACTCCCTCCCAACCATCCTCGACAGAAACTACTGAGGAAAACAAATTTAATTGACCTAGAGTACCAATTCACCGAAAGGATATAATATCAAGCATCTGTAACTAAATACTCAAGTCAGTTTTTCTTTAACAGAACTGCAAATGATCGACTAATCGACGAGGCCAAAAGTAAGAAGAAGAAAAAGACATCCAACCTTAGCAAACTCAGCAGGAGGAACCTTGTCCCCATTGCTAAGCCAACCGTCCTGCAACTTCTTGTACGCTTCATTGATTTTACCCTGCTTCTCGCACAGTATATGCCTTGCTAAACAACAAATTCAAGGAAAACAAAATAAGAGTCGTCGACCGAAATCCCTAAACCTCCAGAGATTGAGCGTAAACGCAATTTCTACCCCTGTAAATAGGATTGAGGAAAGGGAAATAGAAGAGAGAGAGAGAGAGAGAGAGAGAGAGAGAGAGAGAAACCTTTGACATAAGTGCAAGTTCCAAGGCCATCGGAAGCAGCTTTTCCGGATTTTCCCTTCCCTTTGGAAGCACTTTCATCGGCTCCGGAAGCTGCCTGCTTCCCCTTCCCCTTCCCTTTACCGCCCGCGTCCTTTGCCTTCGAATCTTTCCCCATGACCTACACAGTGGATTCAATTGCAGAGAAATTCCAAGTGATATCGATTATCACGCACCTCTTATAAATCTAATAAATATCCAAAGAAAGAATCTTGGACAGAATAGAACAAGATTAATCGACCTACACTTCGGGGTTTGCACCTGGGAGGTTTTTAGGGTTTAAAACAAGATTAATCGAGAGCCTAAATGGATTTAGTTTACTATTTTAATTGATTTAATTATTAATTTACAGTATTTATCTTCTAATCGAAAGTTTTAATGGTCACAAAAATAAACCATTGAATTGAAAAATAAAAAAAATTAAACTAATAAAAATATCGACTTTCTAATTCATACAAAGTTACATGCTTTTTTTCGTCCTAATATTGTTCCTATGAAAATATTAAGTAGTTTTTCAAAACTGCCTTAAAACATGAACAAAAAGCATTGATGAGACTCCATGAAGAACGAATCAAAAAAAATAGTTTGGGCATTGGTTAGTAATCTTACTGTCCAAATCATCAAATTTGAACGTCCTCCCAGTAACGTTTGAAAAATGTTAACAGTGTTTGAGATTTTTTTTTTTTTTTTTTTTTTACTTACCGTCAAAATCAAAATCATCAAATTTCATCAAAATTAAATATTCCTCACAATAATATTGGAAAACTACTATCGATAACTCAGGGTTTTCACCAAGTGCTCTAAATGGCCATATTTAGGCTTTTAAATTAGGGTTTCAATTTTTAGCTCGTGTATGCGTAGCTATTTTCTTTTCTTTTTTTTTTCTTTGAAATCAAAGTCCTATGATTGTTTTGTATGTAAATATTAAGATATTAGAAAAGGAAAGTAATTCTTCATAACTTCTCTACTCGAGGGAAAACTTGAAGTGGTACTCTAATGGAAAGCAAACCAAAAATTAGCAAACAACAAAACTATTTTTCGGGGTTGTTTACTAATAATATATATCGAAACCATAAAATTTGAACATTACTTACAATAAAATAGAAAAAAATGGATAGTAACTTAGTTCTTTTCTCCACCATTTCTCAGTGACTTTAGCTTTCTGTTTTAAGCTCATATATACACGACCTTTAGGCTTTTTTTTTTCTTCAAAATTTAACCTCTAATGTTATTTCTTAATTCCTATGAAAATTTTAAGATAATACAAAAAGAAATTAACTTTTCAGAGCTACTGTAAAACATGAATAAAAGGCGCTAATGGTACCCGACAGAAAATGAACTGAAAATTGGTTAAGTGCAAAACAATTTTTTTTAGTATTAGCTACTAATCATACGTGTCAAAACAATCAAATTTAAACATTTCTCACAATAGTGTCAAAAAGTTTTGACCATAATTTTTTTGACCGAGTGCTCAAGTTAGCCTAATTAGGATATGCTATTTTTCTTCAAATTTAAGTACGTGTGTTGTTTCCTATGAAAATTTTAAGATATTAGAAAGAGAAAGTAGTTTTTCGAAAATGTTCGAAAACACGAACAAAAAGTCACAGATGGTACACCGACAAAAAAACGAACAAAAAATTGGTCAAGAGTGAAACAACTTTTCGTTGTAGGCTACTGATCATACGTGTCAAAACCATCAAATTTGAACATTCATCGCAATAATGTCAAAACCATCAAGTTTTTTTTTTTTTTTTTTTTTGTTCTAAATGACTCAATTAGGGTTTTAGTATTAAGCTCATATTAGTGTGTTCTAAAGAGAGAGTAGTCTTTCAAAACTATCCTAAAGTACGAATAAAAAATTAGCAATAGTACCCCAAATAGAAAATGATCCGAAAATTGGCCAAGAGCCAAACTTATTTTATGTGTTGGCTAATGATCATACGTGTCAAAACCACCAAAATTGAACATTCCTAACAACAACGTTAAAAAACATTGACCATAACTATGCTTTTTCACGAATGCTCTAAATTGCCCAAGTTGGGTTTCCGAATTAGAGTTTTGATTTTAAGCTCATAAACGCCGTTATAGGCTCTTTTTCTTCCAAATATAAATCCTAGTGCTTTTTCGTATGTAAATATTAAGATATTAGAAAAAAAGTAGTTTTTTTTTTTTTTTTTTATGAACTACCCTACAACACAAACAAAAACTCGTATGCACCTTGAAGGAAAATGAACCTAAAATATGCTAACAATGAAACCATTTTTGGTGTTGATTAGTGATCATATGTGTCAAAACCATTAAATTTGGTCATTCCTCACAATAATGTGAAAAAATATTTGATCATACGTGTCAAAACTCTAAATTGCACAATTTGGGTTTCTAAATTCGGATTTTGGTTTTATTCTCCTATATTGTCACAACCCAATTTTTAATTTTTTACTAGCCGTGACTAGTTAAAAACTTGAAATAGATGGTACAATTTTTTACTTTTTAAAATAAAATATAAATATATTTTATTTACAAATTCAAAATACGGTTGGAATACAATGGGATAAACAACTTAAAACAATAAAATAAAATAAAAAATGATGTGAATCGGTAATGCACTTGATCCAGATCTGCTTCCATCCCTGACCAGCTTCTTCTTGTCATGTTTTTGTGTTTGTCCTGAGAACTTAGGTCCCTAGGTTTTATTCTTGAGTTCCGAGTTCTTGTTATAATCTTGCCCAATGACCTTGGACCTTAGTTATGAGGTTCTGGGTTTTTAGTTCTGAGAACTTGATCTTGATCCATATTCTAGTCCTTGACCTTGATTTTGTGTCTCGGTTCTTGTTCTTGTTTCTCTTTTAGTTCTCTATGACACTCCCCTAAGATTTAGGGTACAAGACATGAACTTGACAACCTGTTTCCAAGATTTTATGTGTTTCAAACAACGTAGTCTAATCCTAAATCCAAGGCTTCATGTGTTCCTTACGATACAGTTTAAAATCTACATACGTTCTAAACGATGTAGTCTAAGATTTGTGTCCAGACTTCATATGTTCCAAGCGACACAGTCTGAAAATTTTTGTCCAATACTTCATATGTCCCAAACGACATAGTCTAAATACCTATGCTAAGACTTCATACATTTCAAGTTGTTTAGTCTGAAACTTGCATCCAAGGCTTCTGATAAGGAATCACTGCAAAGGAAGTAAGATTATGATTACCTTGTTGATCGAATATCTCAAGGTAAGCAAACTTGTTTGAGATTCGAATCACTCCACAAGCAAGATCGATCATGTTAAGCTTGAATGATTCTGAACATGCAACTTAAACTACACATAATTGCAAAGAAACTTAGCCCTTGGCTAAAGGAGAGGTAAGAATACTTAACCCTAATGATAATTCCAAAAGAGAGTAAGATTTGAATTACCTTGTTAATCAAATATCTCAAGGTAAGAACACTAAATGATTTAATCGTACGTGGGCCGTGTGTGGGAAAGTACCACACATCTAACCCTACCTAGAACTTGAAAGAGCTTAAGGTCATGTTACAGTTTTAAAGGATAAGTCCCAATCATGTTATGTGTGTGATAGCATTACTAACCCAATAGTGGGATGACTTGCTGAGTATTTCTTAAACTACCTTAAAATCCTATACGCAGTAGTATGCAATGGTTTTCATTTAGTAGTTGATAGGTGTTTTTTTTTTTCATGTTTTGTATTCAAATAGAAAAAAATAAAAAATGAGGAGTATACATATTAATTTTCTTTTCAAAATTAACAATAAATTAATAAATAGAAGATACTAAAATTAGGATTTAACGGACATTAAAAATTAAATGTTCAAAATAAGACTAAAATAATATTTTAAGTGGAGATAATATAAATCAAATCTGTCTTCTCAGTCCATTTTCTTGGTGTTAGGGTTTCTTATATAACTCGCCAAGCCTTATTGACGAGCTTCAGTTTGTTGGGTTCGAGTATCGTATCTCTCGACTCAGAATCAATTAATCTTCGATCATTATTCCTCCGTTTGGTAATCTTGATGCCACTTTTCAATTTTCAATCTCCCTTATAATGTCATGGTGCTGTCAATTTCGGTGTGACGATGGCTTAATCCTTCAAACGAGAATTTCTAATTTATAGCTTCTTGGATTTTCACCTTAGGGTTCCTCCGTTGTGCTGAACGTGATAGAATATGTACTCGTCTAGAGGCGGTGGTAACTACGGACAGCAGTCATCATATGCTGCACAGACTGGATATGGCCAAAATGTACGCTCTCCGCTTTCTTTTTCACTTCTGCACGTCTTTCAAACCGTAATCATGGATTTGATCGTCGATTTTTGATCGATTGATACGTTTTCCTTTTTATATTCAATTTCTGCATGTCTTCTGTACCTTAACATTATCTTGACATTTTATTTTGGCACCCCAATCGTCAATTTTTGATGTTGTGATACGCTCTCCAAGTTACCATGTCGTGGTTACAATTTTGTTCAGGACGTGTGTTATGTGATATATCTAGTTCTCTCATGCGCTGAAAACCTGTTTTGGTATGGGTTTAGCAAACGCTGTTGACTCGATAACGTTTCTCCATGTTCTATTTTCAGTAGCGGATAGCTTACCCATTATTTTGACCTTCTATTTTCTTTGTATAAATCTAGCATTGATGAATATCGTGTTATGCGGTTTTCCATTCCTTTTATTTCAACATTCAGTAGTTTATGTCTGTTTTCAGGGATATTTAAGTATAAGGAAGTATAAAAATAGGAAATGATTTTTGTCAACATGATCAGAGTATACTCCTCCCCTTGAGTTTAGAGATTCAAATCTCCACACTCTACATTTGTTGTACCGAAAAAATAGGAAATGATTATTCCTCCTTTTTTTTTTTTTTTGTGGATTTGTAAACTTTTATTTCTACTTTCGTCCTTGTTCTCATATTATGACAATTTTCTGGTGCTTTTGTAGTTGGGTAGTGTCTACCCTGGGAATTCTGTTGGGGGACCTGACTCGCAACAGCACTCCATGGCCTCTAGGCACTCCTCAATGTTGGGAGCTTCACAGGAAGCTGATACTGCATATAGGTCACATCCATCAAGCACCACTCATTATGGAGGGCAGTATAGTTCTGTGTACAGCTCAGTTGCATTGAGTAGCAAACCACAGGTTGGGTTCTCGCTCATTTGATTGTATTTTCCCTTGGACTATTATATTATTTTTGTATCACATCTTTTAAGCCAGTGAGTTGCTTAGCCTAAATTTACTAGGATATGGGGAAGTGGATTTCATAGTATGAAAGAATTGACAATCATCATGGTTTTGTTCAAACGTTCTGTTCATGTTATGGTGAAGATTTATTGCCCTTTTCCTTGAGCTTGCACTTTTTCCAATGTTGTGTTCTTGTGAAATTTATAAAGTACTTTATTAAGATTCAGTCCATTAGATTGCAAATATCCCTACCTTCTTATAAGGGGGGAAGCTGGTTACAAATTGGTGTCTGATAAATAAATAGAATACCTCTTAGTTACCTTTGGTTAAAGATAGTTCTTGACTAACATAGCAACGTAGCAACCTTCCCAATAAGGAAGGAACGCTCCAATTATATCATAGGGTAAAGATGGGTGCTTGCGAAGAATCTGATTACAGCGTATAAGAATCTGAAAACATACATTTTGAATGTATGTTTTTTTAAATGAGAAATAATACTTTTTATTGATGATTGAAAAGATAAAAAGGAGTACAAAAGCTTCAAAGTCTACAAAGTGTAGACTGAGAAACAATAAGAAAAAAAGAAAAGGGAAAACTAAAGATCGCCCCTAGAAAAGATGCCCCCCAATTGTTGGAAATATCATTAAGAAATTAGACAACATAAATATTATACAAGGAATTCCAAGGAGAGCCATTGACCTTAATTAATTCAAAATGATCTACACCATTAAGGAATTAATCTAAATTTATTTGATTTCTTTCCCACCAAATCTCCTATAGGTTTGCTTTGGTAGCATCAATTCAAAGAATCTTAGCTTTTGTGAAAGAGATGGACTGCAGAGGAGGTGCTAAATTGAGCAGGAATCCTCTCCGAAATCTCACTCATTATATTGATGGGAAAAAAGCATTCCACCAATATATGAATATGGAAAGTGAAACAAAATATGGACAGTGAAACAAAATATGATTTAAGATCCTTACTGAAAGTCCATTCATTTCCTCTTTTCAGAAACAATTTTGTCCTCAATTAAGAACTGTGAGTATTCCTTGCCTAATCTCAATCACAGCTACTGGCCTTGCAAAATTTGATTGTCTAGGAAACTCATAGGATTTAAACCCCAGGTAAGTGGTTATCATTGTTTGTGAACCCGTTCCTTTTAAAGATCATTTATTTTTCCACTAGCCTCAATGGCCACTAGGCAAATCTATGGAAGTTGATATTTAGATGAATTTGGAACATTAAATGTATTGGATATGTTAAGAATTTTTAGTAGGTTGGTCATGCAAACATTGGGCCCAATTGTTTCAACTACAACTTCCTTGTGTATATGAACGATCTGCAGCAAGGTTCTTAGCTTCCACATTTAGACCAAATTACTTTCCCTTTCTTTGAAACATGAAATTCACTTTTAATATATCAGTGGAAAGTAGCAATTTATACCCTAAAGTTCATAACTGGGAGAGAAACCAAAAGATACATACAAAATAGGCCTCATTTGTTTTTTGATGCCTCTGTATTCTTTCATTTTTTTTCCGTCAATGAAGTGTGGTGGTTCATATAAAAAAAGGCCTCAAGTGTATCTTTTTAGTTACAAGAGTAAATAATTTTTTAGCCTAAAAACTATATATATATATATATATATATATAGAAATAAAGAAATCAACCTTGTGGGTCAGGGTAGAAGAAATTCCCTCCTAAGAAAACTTTTGCACGAGAGCTCCATATAGGTTGATGAAAGAAGGGATGTTATTCGTAAAAAAAGATTTTTGTAAGACACTTCAACATGTTATCAATAATGGAGAACATTGCTAAAACTATTTATGGGCTTCAATCTGCACTAAGAGAACACCATCTTGAGTTTCTTTCTAACAAAAAATGCCATATAAAAGCTCTAATTGCACATCCAAAGACGGTGAAGGTGGCTTCGAGGCCTTTCTAATAGAAAGGTGTGGTGTAAGCCTTGAGAGCCTCATTTTAAATGGAATGAAATCATAAATTGAATAATATTGTATTCCTAGCTCTGTATTCTTATTGTAAAACCACAACTTTTAAAATTATAATTGGAAACAATATCTAAAAGATTAGGGAAATAGACAAAGAATACAAAAAGTTATTGAGTAATAGCGAAGGAAAATTATGGGAAAAAGAAACTAGAAGACATATTTCTACCATCTTTCACTTGTTTCTTTATCGTATTCTTGTTTTTGTGTTACTTCATGGGCTTGACTTGATTAGCGTGTTACCGAAGGCTAGGCGAGCTAGCCTATTTGGGTTGAGAATTTCTTACTAGAAGCATGAATACCTTTTTTTTTGGATGGTTTGGCTGTAACATAATCAATAGCCATCTGAATATGAGTTTTGAGGACAGTAACTTTCTTTTACAGATAGTTAATTTGTTGCGTCTATGAATTATCAATTAGTTGTTTCTCTAGATTTTATAATAATGTTCAAAAATTGGAATTGCATATTACATTTTGCATTAGAGGTTTCTTTGTCTTAGTATCGCCAGTTTCTTATTATCCAGCATCAACTAAATTATTGAGCTATTTTTTTGAATACAGGGTCCTCCACTGAGTGCCAAAGGGAGTAGTGTTGCATCAGCTTTGGACGGTCGAGGAGGCTATGCCCCAGCCGTTCCTGATTCCCCCAAGTATCTGTCAAGTGACTATATATCATCTTCAAACCATGGCTATGGTCATAGAACTGATCAGTTGTTCACTGAAAAGGTCACTGAATATCCTACTCTTGATAGGCGGCAATATAGTGAGCATCAGAGTGCTTATTTAGGGAGGGATTTGAAAACTGATGCAGCTGGTAGATTTTCTGAATCTACTGTTGGCTTTGGGCATCAACGTCATGTATGGTTTCTATAGGAAATTTTTTTTGGCCATACTTTGTTTCATTCTCAAGTTTTTTTTTTCAGAAAACTATGAGCTTTGGTTGTTCAGTTTCTGCATGTTTTCTTGATGGTATTCTCTATTGTATTCCAACAGGCTGACTCGTATGACCGTGTTGACCAGATGTCCTTGCTTCGTCAAGAGCAGTTACTAAAAGCTCAATCTCTGCAAACAGCAGATGCCCTTGATGGGAGCTCAAGGTACCGTACTTTTGTCAGCACATTTTTTTGTTGCATTTAGTCAAGGTTGGTTTGCTTTTCCTATGGAAATTTGGAAGTCTGTGGTTGTATGACTCATCCAATAGTCAAAACGATATAACAGCTAAATTCTTCAGGTTTTTCATTCTTCTTTTATTTGTGTTAATCTATACAATGAATGAGATGATTGTCTGTTTCTTATAAGCTAAGTAGCCGGACATTTCTGGCAGACAAAATGATTATCTTGCAGCAAAGGCTGCTGTTAGTCGTCATTCCACCCAAGAACTTCTCTCTTATGGAGTAAGAGTAGATGCCGATCCTCGCAATGTGTCAGTGCTTAATGCTTCTTATGGTGGACAACACTCGACATCAATTTTAGGGGCTGCTCCGCGTAGAAATGTGGATGAACTTATCTACACCCAGAGTTCATCAAATCCAGGTTATGGAGTGAGCTTGCCACCAGGTAGAGACTATGCTGCAGGGAAGGGCCTTCATGGAACTTCTCTTGAGTCAGATTATTCAGGTAGTATGTTGACACGTAAAAGCCATCCAAGGATGGATGAGCACAAAGATAATAGAGCTGGTTATCTTCGGGAATTCGAGCTTAGGGGGGAGGATCACCAAAGGGAGCGTTTTCGCATTAGAGAGAAAGAAAGAGACAGGGAGAAGGCACGCGAACGAGAACGGGAACGGGAACGGGAACGTGAACGTGAACGGCGAGAACGTGAACGTGAACGGGATAGAGAACGAGAAAGAGAACGGGAAAGAGAGCGCATCTTGGAAAGGCAGAAAGAAAGAGACAGAGATCTCAAATGTGGGCCTGAAATTCGGCGTGAACGCACTCCACCAAGAGTTTCTAAGGACAGACGTGGTTCCTCTTTGTCAAAGGAGAGGAGACCATTACGCCGAGATTCTCCGCATTTTGAAGCTTTGCATAGGTGGATCTTGATGTTTATTTGATCCTCCTATAGTTCCCCATGCAGAATCTTTTATTGGTCCGTTTTAACTAACTCGGTGTTCTTTAATGCTGAAGGCATCACTCACCTGTTAAAGAAAAAAGGAGAGAATATGTCTGCAAGGTAAAAAGATCTGGAGCTCAGTCATTCAATGATTTTGACAAGATATATCCCATTAAATATCTGGTTCCTTCCTGTTCGAGTACTTTAGGACTGGGCTTTATAGGATTTAATTCGCTTGCTCCAGATTTTCTCCTCATTCTCTCCATTGCTTCTTGGCTCTGGAATTAGTGTTGAAGCCTCAAATTATCTAAACCGTGGTTCTTCTCCCCCTTTTGTATATTGTTGCATCTGATTCAGAGTTCCCTCACTTTCCAGAATTTGTTTTTCCCCATTAGTTTTCTTGTTTTGTTTTTCATTGGTTGCTTGGATTCCGTTTGTTCATTACCTTCCTTGGCAAAAACAAGGGTTTCCGAGATTCTTCATGTTTCAAAAGTTTCTCTTGCAATTTTCTTGTTCAGTCCTCTATTTGCTCCACCAAGATTCCATTTGTTCATTGCCTACCTCCACTTTCCCACTTTTGTGGAACAAATTACTCTGACATTTCTTTTTCCCCCCCTTTTTGATTGCAATATTACTTGGATTCCATTTGCTCATTTCCCCTTGAGTCCCCATTCTTCTTTAACCATCTGCTTTTTAAAGCATATAGCTCGTTTTGCAATCATGATAAGATCATGCCTTGTTTCTGGGAGCAGCGTGGCCAATCTTCTGAGCTCCTGGAATACATTTGGAGTTGATCTTTATCTTGTACATCTGTTGTTTATCTAAAAATGCTGGAATTATTTGTTTTTCGTTTTAATTTGACTTGAATGATCTTTAATTTTTCCCGTATGTATAATGATCGGTAAGAACATGTTAGGATTGTGATAATCTCATGAAATAAAATTGTTCTTACTTCCCCAAGGGAATGCTTGTTTATCTGTTCTTTGAGCTTTCTTACTTTTGCATGATTGTGTTTTTCTTTCTGTTGCAACCAAAGATTCGATTCTTGCCTTCCATCACTTGCAGGTGTACGCGCACAGTTTAATAGATGTACAGCGGGATTATTTGTCATTAGAAAAGCGATATCCCCGACTCTTTGTATCCCCAGAGTTTTCAAAGGTGCATACATCATGTTTTACGTGTTTTAGGAGATTTCATAATTGATTGATGGTGGATCTTTGGACTGATGTTTTCAGTTAATCTAGGTTATTGTGAATTGGCCAAAGGAGAAACTCAACCTTTCCCTTCATACTCCTGTCAGGTATTTATCTTTTCCTCATGTAGTTTGAAACTTTTCTTGTAGCTTCTTCGAGAGAGTTCATGCTCATTTTTATTTCCCCCACTCTTCCTTCTGTCAAAGCTGACGGTTGAAAATTGTATTATATGGCTTATTTGGGTTGAGCATTTTATTTCTATCTACTTTGTGCATGTCTTTGTCCACACGCTTATTCTGCATCAAGCACAAGTTGCATTTTTATTTTTATTTTTTTTATTTTCCTCTCAATGCGGGTTCTGCCACTTTGATGGAGCTTCTGGGTTTTATGAAAAACAAAAATCATCAGCAAAGGTTTTATTTATTTCATCAAGGACGAGGTGACATGATAAAAACAGAAATTTAACCTATCTCCTAATTTTCCAACGCTATATAATTACCTGATGTTTTTTTTTATTTTTATTTTTTATTTATTTATAAGAGAGTTTCTCGAGCATCTGTCTCCTCTTTGCATACTTGTGGATTTTATGATTGTGAGTTTTGAATAATTGATTGTTGATGAAAGAGTATATTAGGAAAGAAAAATGGCAATCTAATTCCTTCTTGTTGCTACAGTTTCGAACATGATTTTATTGAAGAAGGGACTGTATCTGGCTCAAAAGTGCTTTCCGATGAGCTTAAGGCTAGAGAACCTGAGAAATCAGATCCTGTGAATATAGTATGGAATGTGAAGGTAAGTTGCTTGGAACATCTCTCTAATGTTTTCTACAATCACTCTGTTTCTCATGAAATATCCCTTTATGTTCTTGTCCCTTCTGCAAACTTTTTTGTTCTCTGATTTTCAGTGTGTTATTCAAAGAAGTATAATCTGCTGGCCAATTTATGCCTTCACCATCTTTAATGGTCCTTTTCTTCTTGCATTGTCCCCTTAAAAATTTTGGTTTTTTTTTTCTTTTGTCATTACAAATGTTAGAACACAAATTTATTTCCCTGAAAGATGTATATTGAAGATATACCAAGGACAAGGAAATGTTTTCTTTGGAGATATGCTTGCTGCTGCTGTTCTCTGTTATATTTGAATTGAGGAAAATGATGTTTTATTGTCCAATTTTTTTCCGATAAGAACAGACACTACACTTGTTCTTAGCTAGAAGGCCAATAAAGGTTTTATTATGGACCAAGTTTTGGAAACCCTGCTTGAGCATTGAAGATTTAACCACTTTGTTTTTAGCCACCTAAATTATGTATGCAGAATGAGGAAGATGAAGTGGATGCTAATGAATCATAGTAGATACATGCATTAATTCACAAAAAAGACTGGTCAAGTTGTACATGAACAACTTTATGTGAACATTTTTTCTCATTGCGATGGATCATTTTAGTTTTTATTCTCCTCTTCACATTCATTTTGAATTTAAACCAGGTGAAGAAAAAATAGTTTAGTATCCTGGTGCTTTTGTATTTATATTATCTCCTGGATCAGATTATTTTGATGAGTGGTATCAGCAAAAATGCTCTTGAGGAGTTATCATCTGAGAGAAGTTCGGAAGACCGCATACCCCACTTTTGCAATATCCTTAGGTTTGCCATTCTTAAGAAAGACCGCAGTTTCATGGCAATTGGTGGTCCATGGCAATCGTCTGATGGTGGTGATCCTTCAGTTGATGCTGACGCTTTAGTTCAAACGGCCCTTAGGTTTGTGCTATGTCCTACTTGTGTTTGTATGCGAGAGAGAGCATTGCTGTTTTGTCTTACTTGTGCCTTCTTCATATCCAGATATGCAAAGGATGTTACGCAACTAGACTTGCAAAACTGCCACCATTGGAATCGTTTCCTAGAGGTTCGTATGTACAATACTGTTAATCCCTGATTGTGTTTTGTGCTCGTATATTGAGTATCTAATTTTGTTTATTTTTCAAAATAAAGTGCTGACACTAGAGGGTATTTGTCTCATCAGATACATTATGATAGATATGGCAAGGATGGGGTTTTCAGCCATAAAGAAGTCTCTGTACTACTTGTTCCAGATTTATCTGATTGTCTCCCTTCATTAAATGTGTGGAAGGAACAATGGCTTGCACATAAAAAGACTGTTGCTGAGAGAGAGCGCCACATTGTACTGAAAAAGGAGGTTTGTGTTTATATTGCTTTAAGTAGAAGCTTCCATGAATATTGGGGCATTATTTTCTGAATATCTCGTGGCTGTTAGCAAGGTATTAATGAAAACAACTTTTTAAATGCTTCCATGTTTAATGGCAACTTGGACTGGATCATTCCAAAAGACAAGGATGATATTCCAGCTGCTGTGTCATTGTTAGGATAAACTTTTGATAGGACAGAGATTGTCAAACATGCAATAATATTATGAATTTCCTATTTGTATATATAATTTTACCATCCTTGTCGTTGAAGATTCTTTGATTCCTTTCAAGCCTATATGTATATATATATTGGTATTGTGTGCTTTTCCAAATAGAAGTTATCTATTTGAAGCTTATTCTGCATTGCTCTTAAGAAAACATGGGTCATGGGGATGGCTAGTTTTTAACTTCCTATGTAAGTTTCTTGTGGGGCGCATTTTTGTTTAGTCCTTTACTAATTCATTATCCTTGTATTTCCAAGCCTTGGATAACATGGCAGCCTTTTGTCTCATACTAAATTTATGACTCAGGATTTTTTTTTAATATTTCTGCACTAATATAACAATGTTGAATTCTCAGATATCCAAGGAGGCAAAGGAAGGGATGGAAGATGATAAGGTGTCAACCAATCAAGCAGACATAGATGAAAAGGAAAAGAGTGACAACGGAGACAAAAGGAATACATCCGAGGGAAGGGAGGGTAATGAAAGCAAGGATGCTGAGAATGTTGAGAAACCAGATCAAGGAGAAGTTGCTGGTGATACACAGAAAGTTGGCACTGTGAAATCTGGAAAAAAGAAGATTGTGAAGAAGATTGTCAAAAAGGCCAAAACGGTTGGTGATGTAGCCAGCAAGAATAATGTCAAGCTGGATGAAAAGGCTAGTGGAGAGAAGAACTCTGACATTCCGGCGGATCAACCTTCCAGTGATTCTCCTGCTGTGAAGACATTTGGAAGGAAAAAAGTAACTAAACGGGTGGGCAAAAGTCCTTCTCAAAATGAAAAAAATAAAGATATACTTCCAAAAGTAGAAAATGAAATGGACTGCTCTGAGGATAAGTCTAAGGATAATTCAGATCTCAATGCAACAGTGGGTCAAGATACTACTGTTGTGAAAACAACTGTGAAAAAGAAAGTTATTAAGAGGGTTCCTAAAAAAAAAGTTACTGCTGTGGTATCTAGCGAGGAAGTTTCTAAAACAGATGAAGATGGTGATGGGAACGAGAAGGTTACAACAGATGAAACACATGATGTGGAGAAGTCCACTATAGATGATAAACAAGAAACGATGATTCCTCAATCAAAGTCGACATCGCCTACTTCATTGAAACCTCGTGATTCTGTAAGTTTGAATAAGGCTGAGAAAGAGAATGTGAAGAATGACAATGAAACTGGCAAGGAAATCAGTCCTGTGACCAATTCGATTGACAAACAAAAAGTTGGTGAGAAGGATAGCGGTAACGGAAAGAGAGAAAAATCTAGAGATAGCGAACAATCTAAAGATGAGAAAGAGAAAATGGGTAAAGATGAGTCTAGAAGCAAACCAAACAAAGAATTAAAAGAAAAGAGAAAGCCTGAAGAACCTCATCGACATCCGGGGTTGATACTACAGACAAAATGCAGCAAGGATTCCAAAGTAGGTTGATTTTAGCCAGATCCATTTACATTAACAGTTTGACATTGATCCTATAACAAACTATCTTAATTATATCACTTGTTTCAATATGCAATACAGTTTCGGTCATTGTCGCTTTCCCTTGACTCACTCTTGGAGTATACAGACAAAGACATTGAAGAATCAACTTTTGAGGTACCCGTCCTGCAGATAGGAAGATTTTCACTGTCTTCTCTTCCTAAAAATTTTCTGTTAAAATCTTCTCCTTACTGATTGAAGGCAATATTTACTGGTTTATTGCTATACTTACATTGCGTTTTGTTTTCCCTTCACAGCTTTCACTCTTTGCTGAATCACTCTATGAAATGCTTCAGTATCAGATGGGATCCCGTATTTTAACTTTCCTCCAGGTTTGCCTTTGAGTCAGTTAAATTATTGTTCCGATGATTAAAGCTTTACATATTTATTCTATCTTTTATGTTGGCAATAGAAATTGCGTGCCAAATTTGTGGCAAAGAGAAATCAGCGAAAGCGGCAACGTGAAGAAATCCAAAAGGAAGACGATAAAAAATCATCACCGAAACGGCCAAAGACTACCGACATTCCTATTGAAAATCAATCTATCGAACCAGAAACATTACATCTATCTCAAGCAGGTGCTGAAACACCTGCAGTGGAGGGGAATGACTCTGCTGGTCATGTTGATGAGATAAAGATGGAAACTGAAACAGATAACGGTGAAGATCCAGAAGAAGATCCTGAAGAAGATGAGGAACTGGGCGACGTAAGTTCTCAACACAATTCAACTAATATTGAGGCATCTCTCTTCTCTCTCTTTCCATCCCCATCACAGAATCATTTGGAAAGAAATATGTGCTGCTTACTGTGAATTTAATGTTAAAGGTCAAAAATTAAGTTTATTATTTGAGGGGGGACCATCTCAGAAATGTGCATGTCTAGGCTCTGAAATGTGCGGTGTGCTTGTGCTCTTCTACTTTATTTCTCTGTCTAATGTATTGTATTACATATTTTAGATCTCTAATGTATTGAGTTTAATTATTCTATAAAATTCTTTTTCCTGAGATAATATTTTGAGATCATGTTATGTTTTCCTTGTGATAATAGAATGAAACGGATGCTACAGTTGAAACTAATGATGAAAAGGATGCTACAATGCAAACCAATGAAGAGGATGCCAAGACTGAATTGAATGAAGAGGCAAAGGCAACAGCAAATGTTGAGTCTGAAAAAGTTGCAGCAAATCAACCTGACAAAGCCATGGTGTCGAGCCAGGAGACTCTTAGCAAGAAAACGACAGAGTCCGATAAAAGAGGGGCAGAAGAAGAGTCGAAGAAGAAAGAAGTTTTGTGTTCGCCTCCCAAAGAGGCCGTGGTAGACAAGGAGCTACTGCAGGTGCTTTATGAACCTCCAACTTCTTCAAAATTAAAATTAGTTTGCAGAAGCTTACTTTTACATTCTTTCTAATTATGGTTCTCTGAAACAGGCTTTCAGGTTCTTTGATCGAAACTTGGTTGGTTATATTCGGGTAAATCTCATTGTTCTTTAGACCTTCTCTATTCGGAACACGAACTACAGATTTTCTCTAGTAACGGAATTGAGAATTCACATTAAACAGTCAACTTTGTTTGGTGTATCAGGTTGAAGATATGAGAATGATGATCCACAATTTGGGGAAGTTCCTTTCGCACAGGGATGTAAAGGTGGGTAGGAAATAACATCATTCTAACATCGTACTAGTGAATACAAATCTTGATAATGCCTTTTCCCATATAAATGTGTCAGGAACTTGTGCACAGTGCATTGTTGGAGAGCAGTACTGGAAGAGACGATCGGATCCTCTATGGGAAACTTGTACGAATGTCTGACATTTGAAATTATAGTTTAGTATAGTATTGTTAGCTTTTTGGCCTGAAACTTAGAAGATTTGGGCGCTTTTGAATTTTTCCATGTTCATATTACATTCACACTTCCATCCGTTGAAGATAAATACGATTTCTATTTTCTTGGAACCTATTAGATTCAAACTTGGATTATTCTTTTTAATTGCCTCTCTTTTAAACAATCACGAGGCATAGTTTGTCAAAGCCTTTGTAACCTTTTTTCATGTAATACTAAACAGATTGGTTAAAATTATATATATATATATATCTATATATATCTATACTCACTGCTACTCAAAGGCAATGTATATATCAGTGCTACCGATGTTTTTATTATAAGTTGTCTCTAAATTTTTATGTAAAGAGTTATTTATTTTATAATCTTAAAAATTTCCAGGGTTTTGAGCTAAGTGTTGGGTTTGGAGTAAGGAGCTAACGGCGGAACAATTCTAGATTTCTACTTGTTATCTAGAAGGTGTATATATCTATATAAACTAATAAAAATTGAAAATAACTTAAAGAGTGAAAATGCCTATACTAACTTATATGTTATGTTACTAAATATGGACATGCAAGGGTCGTACATATAATCATATAATCGTATTTTAAGAAAATCTCCGCTATTGAGGTTAGGTGCAAGCACATATAATCATGAGTGAGACCTATCATATCAGTCTATATTCCTTCGGCAGCTATCTTAAGCGGGTACTTGGACGTGTATTTACTGTTCTACACACGATCCATACATGCGAGTGTGGTCCCACTAGTCGGTTCGCACATCTTCTAAACCCCTTTTTTGTCGGGCGAACATTCTCTGGTAGCTGTTGTCGAACACTTTTTATGATTAGTGGTCATCATAGCAGCATTATGGTAAACTTAATGATCATTTCTCTATTTTGTAACGTAAAGGAGAAGGGGTATCCCATGATGCATGAACACATAATGATGGATGAAGTCCCAACATTTTTCTCCTTTCATTATCATGTATAACAAGCCCTCTAGCGTTTTCTTTTATGTCATATCATGGAGGGGTTGTGCATTATACCAATTCATCATATTGCATATCAATCTTATCATATGTCATTCACATCAAACATATGTCATATCATAAGCTTATCATATCTTCTAACCTATCAAATCATATCATGCACATACCATATCATATCATCATATTCTCATATCACGAGCACATCTTCAAACATATTCTATCTTAACATATCATATCGTAAACATATCATTTCATCACATACAACATAACATTCACATATTATAACGTACACATATAATTTCATAACCATTCGAATATACGAGCATATGACATGTGCGAAGCCACTAGTACATGTCATCAACAACATACCATCATTATGACGCATTATGAGATTGATAACAACTCATTCTCCAAAAGTTGTAATATCGTATCGTTCTTCTTTGAGAAAAGTATCACGAGCGTGTCTCATGCTTCTTTCGGCTTCTTGTCATCCCAAATATGTTCCAATGTCTCTATTTGTGTAAGATGTCATAATCATCCTCCTCTAGTGGTGTAGTTTCACTTCCGTCGACAATCAAAGGTCTTGTCCTTGTAGATAGGACATCATGCTTGTTGCCCACGTGATATAGTTGTTATTGAGTTTCTTTTGATAACTTGGATATTACACATCGTGTTTGCAGTACCTCAATAATATCGAACAAGTTTTACTGACATATAACTTACAAAGTCACAAACTACTCATCACAAATAAACTCACTCACTAATAATCTCAATAAGTTGTTCCTGATATGGAAGATTAGGTAGAGTCGCAACCACAACATACTAAGGGTTTCAAGAGATCATATAACCTATCACAACATTGCTCGGATATCAAATTATTGAGGGCAACTTTTTTTTTTTTTTTTGTGTGTGTGGGGGAAACACTCATTTTTTATTAAAAACAATCAAGAAGAAACTATGAGACACTCTTCAGGATATAAATTTGGTAGGTTAAAAAGGATATTTATAGTAGAGGCTAGACAACGTGGACCGCAGATTTGTTTCTTCTAGAATATTTCTATAATATCTCGATATCTAGAAACTTCTAGTTAATGGACTTATGCTCTAAGTGGGCTAATTAGATTTCTTGATAATTGGGCTCTCACTATGGGTTTGACCCGTTCGTGATGATGTTTTAACAATAGGAATATCATATGACCGTTTATGTATCCAAGGGATATTTTGGCACGATCACAAGGGACATAACGACTAGTTACAAGTTCAAAGACTTGAAATAGTAGATGATGGCGGATGTCAAATCTTGTCTCATGACTTCAATAAGTTTTCGTATGAAAATAATTAGCGGATTTGTCTGCTCACTCCTAATTGTGAACTCATCTTATGGGGGCAAGGGTCTATATGGTGACATTAGCTATGGAGTCATCCCTTACAAGTTCTACAATGGATTAGTAGTTGAATCAATAGTGTTCCTACGGCAATGATGAGATATGCACCCTTTCATAGTTAGTATTAGATTATCACTGACTTGAAGAAACCATTCTCACTCAAACAGTAGAAGTTCAAAACTTACTCAATATTACGATCAAGTTGCATATGATCCTGTGAAATAGTAAGTTTTACAATAAACGAATTTATAAACATAAATTAAATGAGTTTTCTAAAACACCTTATTGAATTTTCTAAACAAAGCTTATGGACTACTATAATCCATACAAGGATTTGCGAATGTGACATCCCTTTCCATTTTCTCCTTGAGCAGCAAACTCACAGAAGTCAATTCAGTAACCGGAGAAAAAGTATCAGAATACTCAATTCCATACATTTATGTGTAGCCATTAGCAACAAGACGACCTTTCAATCAAGCTACGTATACATCACAATTGACTTTAACTTAACCCATTTACAATCAATGCAAGAACAGACAACAACCTGGATACAAACTGACCTTCACGAATCATTTTCGGAACAGATAAAGACTTTAGTGATGCAATGAAAGAACAGGTAGGAGATGATAAATTGCTATATGAAACAAAAGAAGAAATAATATATCATTACTAATAAGTAACAAAACATTACAATAATATGTGTTCTTTAAATCTTCACAATAACTCGTAAGAGAGTTCTCATCATAATTAAGTTGATAGAGGATCTCACACACACAAACACCTACGGACTACCCTAAAGAATCTCACTCTAAATAGATTTCTTGATCTACAAAACCATTCTAAGATACACAATGTTTGCCAGTAATGGTACCACGTTCGTTCTTTAGACAGGTTGATTTAAAATTATTTTAGGCTGTTCATAATAATCCCTAGATATTCAACCTAATCTTCGATATCTATGGGAAAAATTAGAGAACTTTTAGAACATTAACTGAAAAAAATAGTACATAGGAACTAAATCATATATATTTTCCCTGATGTAATGCGTGTGCCAGAATTTGATTGTGGGGAGCAGTTTATTTCTTGAGCAGGTACATTCCATCTCTGAGTTCTAATTTCTCTTCAGAAACAAGGCCAGATAAAAAGCTTTGTAGCTGTTGGATTGACTTGTCATAAGAAGGATCCGCTACACAAAACATCTGCACAAATGTTTTAATTCTGTTAGCCTTCTATGTTCTTCACATCCAATTATCCACATAATGTTACAACTATTCTTACCTTGAGAGTATTATGAATTCGATCTAAAGCCATACTTCCAAAATTTGTGAGCATCCCCAAGATGAATTTCTATTAACAAAGTGACCAAACAAAAAGAAGAGAAGAATAGCATTTGTTAACAGACTCCAATTGAGAGAGGAAGCTGCTTCTAAATCAGATACTCATTTGTATGGACTAGAAAGGAACTACCCAAAGAAAATAGGCCAATATACGTTACAATCTGGCATTCAGATTACTTACCTCGTAGATAGTCATTTCTTTACGTATTTGGTCCTCAACAGAAGCAACAGAACCCTCTCCCTCATCCTCGCCAACCATAAGGTCCTCATTATTGCCGTTATTTGAAACATTTTTACTTGTGTCGATCATATTTTCTACGAGGACATATACATGGTCGGTGGAATCCGCAGCACGGGACTCCGTGAGAATTCCCTTCAATAAAAACAGCATATGACATAGTTAGTTAGTTTTGCAAACTGGGAAAGTTATCCATGTGAGTCTCTTTCAGTGCAATACAGAACTCATCAATCCGGTACTATAGCAAGTAACATGGTATGTAGCATTTAGGGAAAAGAAAAGTGATGAAAAGAAGGGTGGAATTGGCTGTAGCCCTTGGTGAAATATTGGCAACTCTCCATCAGATAAAGGTAAGAAACATAGGGTCCCTGAATTCAAATTGTTAGGTCTCATATTTATGTGGCTCCTTTTCTAGGCTATTGTTTTTGTAGGCCTCTTTGTCTAAATTCAATTGATTAAAGCTTGGTTGTTCCATTAACTTAAACGAATAAAACTATGGAGGCTTTGTTTGAAAAGTAACAGAGTGTTCAAAGATATGGAAAGGGTAGGATAGAAAAGTGTGAGTTAGATTTTTTTTTTATTTGGTTCCCATTCCCATCAGATTTCTGTAAACTGTGACTTCAGCCCCTTGAAATCAATACTAACTGGGCAGCATTTTCAAATTAGTTTAGGGAGCGGCTAAATTTTAAGTAAATTTTTCTTTCTTGTTGCTTTCCTTTATTTAACTTTTCTCTGCAAAGAATCTCAAGAACACCTTATTAACCCAGAAGTTTATCCGCCGAGAAAGTACATCTACTGGCAAACCAATTGCAGCTGCAAGACTCTTAGCACTCCAACTGTAAAAAAAAAAGTTTATATTAAGCCACATATAGTTGTGTCATACACTAAGCATAACTAGTTGGGCTAAGTGTAAAAGATTCCTACCTTTTTTGATGTTGGAATTGCATAATAATCACTGCATGAACGGGAGCTACAGTGAACTGCACTTCTCTATCTTCAAATTGCAACTCCAACTACAACAGATGAACCATAAGAGTATTTAAGGTAAAAAGAAAAATATTGTCATGAGTTTCAATTCCGAGCACAACAGTTTGCACATTCATATTAATAGTAGATGATGAGGTCCGTTAACTGACCTTTACTGTACCGAGATTTCTCTTCCACTGTAGCTTACGAGGTGTCTTAATTTCATGAAACCTCTGAGCATAATCCGTAAGCAGATGATCCACTGATGCAGGTAGGTTTATGTTTTCATCCTAAAATTCACCGTGGTTAGAAGGTTCCCCAAAGCAATTGAAACATCTGAAATCTACTTCTAAGAACAAGTGCTGACAAATAAAGAGTTTTTTTCCTCCCCCAGAATAGTTCACTTCTGCGTAGAGACCTCCTTCCAATGCCCAAGGAAAATCAAGAAACAAGCATGCCGAAGTATAAGGAAGGTCGTATATTATATGTATACACATATATATGAAATGTTTCATTCCAATGGATCTTTCAATGCTAAGATAACTAATGCATCATCATTCAATATAGGGCAACGAAGTGTGACTGTTCTGCATAATACCACCACATTTTTACACGAAAATATTTTCTCACCTGAATTGGAGGCCAGAAATTTGAAGACAAGATAGTTGCATCAAAGTCATTCATTGAAATCGTGCTCTCCTTGAGATCAACTAGATGAACATACATGAAAAAAGAAATTAGTCAGTACTTTCAGAGTATAACATGATACTTCCGGTAGAGTAGCAAGAGTGCTAAACAATATGATGAGCTTATGTATGCGTAAGAAACAGGTGTCAAGAGACATTGAGCTCAGGTTGGGAAAATTGGTGTGTACGAGAAGCACTATTTTCAGAACAACATTTCTATATTTAGTTCAGTGGGCAAAGGGGCAAGAAGGAGGGAGAAAGAGATAGAAATAGCACCAGTTTACCTTCTGGATTATTTAGAACAATCTTTCTTTGGTTTCCTCACTACACAACTATAGTACATGGTTCTTCTACTTAATTAGATAGTTCACATCTCATAGTCTTAGCCAATGATTTATCAGGCCATATGAAGAGGATACTTTCATAGCTATGATTTCAAATATCAATCTACCTTATTAATTCATGGAAGATGGAAATTAGACATAATCCTTATTGCAAAAAAGGTTTAGGGGGAGCAAGACAACCGAACTTTCAGATTTTTCCATTTTAAAATCTATTGAATCGGTTGATTTCGATTTATTGGTACATAAGCTGAATTTAAAAATCAAGCTAACTGAAATATCCTATACGTACTCAGCAGCCCAGCCCTTCACGCCATTGTTCAGCCTAACCCACACCAGTAGAGCATCCACTCAATAAGCTGTACAGTTTTCTACCCACCCAACCCCAGTCCATGCTTACACTTGATTTCGAAGCCTAATTTTTTTGTCTAAATCTCTCTCTCTCAAATTTCAGTGTATCATGCCTCTATCACAGTTCCTTGCCACTCAATCTGATCTCTCACACCTTAATCGCACCTCATATTTTCGTCTCTATCCTCTCCCTCTCCCGAAGTTCTTATCCCCACCTTCTGCAGCAATAGTTCTATCCCAAGTCCCTCTCTTGCTCAAACCGACTCAAGTAGTCAACCTAGCTAAAACGCTCTATTTGTAACAATTTTTGTGAAACCACTCTCTTGATCAGAAAGCTTAAATTTTATGAGGGCATGTTGTTCTGGCAATCTTTTAGGAGATTTTAGAGAGAAATGTGAAGATTTTTGTTGATTCATTTGAAGAATACGAGAGTTCTTATTAGACTTACAGAACTTTCTGAAATTCTTTCCCAATCCTTTTTTATAATTATGATTCCCTCCTGCTAAACCAATTTTCTTGACTCTCTCCTCACCCGTGTGAGCTAGAGAGATCCTTTTTCTCACCTGACACATTACAAATGTCAAATATCAACCTCAGCCTCCCACTCTCTGTTGCAAGTAATTATTAAGAACTAAATTTCCTACTAGAGGTTGCATTACCTAAAATACCAATTTTCCCAACCCAACAGCTTGAAGTCTCTCTCTTCTCCTGTTACTTACGACATAGCTAAGGTAAGATAAGCAGATGGGAGTCATTTCAAAAAGACCACGGGCATTTTTCAACATACCTGTTTGTGATGGCACTTTTATTGTTGCTTTAATATTAGAGTTAGTCCTCTTGGAATCAATTAGATCATTGAGCATAATTTCACACTTCTGCATGCTACTTTCTCCAAAATGAATCTGAAAAATGACAAGGGTATAATAAGAAAAACAATTTGAACACAAGAAAACACAGAAAAATTCCTTATTTCTTATTCTTGTGATATGCTAATTGTGGTTTAGAAGGGTGAAAAAAGCACACCTTGAGTAGCTCTAGTGTTCGTATCTCCGAGTCAATGTCATAATCAGACTTATTTAGAAGTTTTTCTGCCAGCATGACACGATATTCATTAACTAGTTGGTCTTTTGAACCAATTATGCTAACTAGCATCCCAAGAATGTCAACCTTCCTTCTAGTCCTCCCACCCTTCAATGGATCAGCTTCTACAGGGTCAGGCTCCCATCTGAAAAAGCAGAACCCATTACTCCATTTAAAACAATAACGATGAAGAATACTTACCATCAGCTTAGAGTACGCCTTACAAATGGTTCATCCTGCAACACCCTACATATACACGTACCTTGAAGCGTTCATCCAGGCTTGCTTGTCATCAGTGTGAAAATCATCATCTAGACCTACATTTTCTTGACCATCTTCATCTCTATTTAATTCTTCAAGAAGGCTAGCACCAGTATTTCCAGATACATTGGAATTTCCACCAGTCCCGTCAGTAAGCATTGTCACAATACATTTGATGGTATCTTTCCTTCCCCTCAAGTATTCCCTTATTGGTTCACCCACTGCTTCAAGAAAAACACCAGCTGAGTCTATTGTGCGGAGTGCTTTGATAGTGGAAACATATTGATGCAATATATCATTCGTTGAAGCTCCAGCAGTAAGTAGGCGATATCGTAGTGCCGAGATGAAAGATTCAACAAGCTTAGAATGTTGCCCAGTGTATTCAAGACACTGTTTTAAATCTTCAATTGCCGGAGAGCTGAAATTTATGTTACAGATTGATTTTTAAAAATAATAATAATAATCATAATTTCTTTGCATTTAAGTACAAAGGTTTGTTTGACGTAATCCAAGAATTTCTATAAAAAAATTTAAAATATTGAAGCTGCTTTTAGAATGTAATAATGTTAAAAGCACATACGATAGACTGTGGGACTACTGTCATTTTTGGTTTTGATCACTTGCAACATAGAAAAAATTGTTAAGCCTAAGAGTATTTTGACTTGAAGTAATGTGATGTTTACCAGAATGATTACAGAAATTGAATCAGAGTGAATAAATTTCGATAGAAATCACAAGTCAGCTGATCAAATGTAACTGTCATAGTTACAAGACTACTATCTGAAATTCTACAGATTGTGGGTTGGACTAAGGAGTCAAATAAGAAATTTCTTCAACCATTCGAACTAGGAGCATGTGGAATGACTATTGTCTTGGTCACGTCAAGTTCTTGCTTAAGCCAAGGAAACCTGAACCACACGGCCTCAATGACATGAAAGCATATTTCTTGACCAAGTTGGTTAAACCTGGCAACATCCAAGCAGAGGCATGTCTCAGCTTGTTCTATAACCCAAGTAACGTGTCTCCTTACTCATTTATAGTTGAACAATCCAAATTGGTTGTGCCAAGTGGATGGGAAGCTTTGAGGTCATACATGCAGTCCTTGAATTTAATTTTTTGAGATTTTAGTTAAGCTAAATTTATATTTCGGTTCATTTCATGCAGCATATACATTTTTAGTTTCATCCCTAATGTTCTTAAAGTATCAATATTGTCTGTGTCGTTGAAATTGAATAAAAAAAATCATAACATTGCTTTTAAACTCATTCTCCTTAACCTCTCCCTCCTTCGACCCCTCCCCCTCTTATCCTACCTCTTCCTCCTCCAATTCCTCCTTCAACGAAACTCACTGTCGCCCCCATCTCATCTCCTGCTGTCGGGGCCTAAATGGTGATGTGGAACGTCAAGGAATCCAAATTTGGAACGGGCAAGGAACATTGGGGGAGGAATGGTCGTTCCTCACCTCAGATCTGGATGAAGCTAATATGAGGGCTTTTAAGGGTACATTAGTAATTAGTTAGAGACTTTCTTGTACTATTTGGTTATAATTAGAGGGGGAAAGGGAGGAGGTAGGCATTATTTTGGTGAGTGATTTAGAGCTTGAACGAGGTCTCCAGGGGGGGGTTTCAAATACCTCGGACACTTGGTTTATCTTGTAGTTCCAATATCTTTTCATATTTTTAACACATTTGAGATCTATCAATTAATGATAGGAATGCTATTAAGGGTATGTCAGTAATTGGTTAGGGAGTTTGTTATACTATTTGGTTATAAATAGAGAAATTGGAGAGGAAGGAGGTAAGCATTGTTTGGTGAGTGATTTAGGGCTTGAGAGAGATCTCAAGATACGGAAGGTCCAAGTACCTCAAACACTTGGTTTATCTTGTATTTTAGTTACCCTTTATCTTTCAATACATATGGGTTCTATCAGCGGCTTCCGGCAATGACAATGGTGGACAGCGGTAACTTTGATGGTTAGAGATGGGGGCAACATGGTCGTTGGAGGAGGGATCGAAGGGGGAAGAGGTGGGACAAGAGGGTTCTTTTTCTTTTTTTGGTTATAAAAATACCACATCGTCATCCTTTATTATAGAAAATCAAGTCCTCTGGTTACAGCCACGTTAGCATCTCCATTAGTTATTTAACAAAGACCTTAATTCAAAGACCAAAATAAATAATTTCATAGACCAGGGGGATATGATTGCATGATTTTGAAACCTAGGGACGAAATCAACCTATTACCTAGACCATAGAGACCAAAAGTATAGTATACTCTATTTTATATGTTACAATGAGTTGGCATGAAAATGCTCATATTAGGATCTCAAGATGGTTGATAACAAAATGATAACTTTACTGTGATCACCATCTCATTTGACACGAGAAACTTCAACAACAAGTCAATCACAAAATATCCACTCACAGGAAACTAAGCAAGAGAACTACCTCAAAATATAGAAGGCATTACCTGTCGGGATAATCCACTATTATCTCGAAAAGTTTTGCAATCCTCAAGTCTTGCAAAGTCTCATATGCAAAATACTCCAGTCGAGACTGCCACCTAATAAGTCCTTCAGGAGTATCAACTCCAGAGTTGAATGAGGATGCATGGGGAGCTAACGATGATTTCAGACTAAGCAAAGGACTGCTGTTATCAGCAGAATTTCCAAGATAAGCAAGAAGGGAATGCAAAAAATGGAGTGGCACAGCCTGAGTAGTATAAAAAATAACATTCATCAGGGATACAACTTTAAACGCTTATCGACTGAAGAAAGCAATGGAATATTGTACGAGAGTCGAGCAAGAAAATTGAGAAACAGTTTACAAATGTAAAGAGCTAGTGGTATTGTTCTAATTTTTACATATAAAAATGAAGAATATCTCACTAATTCGACAAGTGCAATCCAATAAAAAGACTAAATGAAATGTAAAAAAAATGGGGGGAAATGGGACTATACAAGGAATACCTACAACAATAAAAAAAACTTCCAATAAAGACTAATCAGAAATTGGCCTTGTTGGGCTGAATATGATGATCAACTCCATCTTAGAATCTTAATCTTCAAATTTAGTTCTTGGAACGGCTTTGATCAATTTGTCAATAACTTTTCCTTTTTTCATAAGAAAACTAACTTATCAATAGCTTGTAAATTAGTTGGAGTGTGAATAAGACAGTACCACCAAGGGGTAAAAAACCAAACCAAACTAATTAATCTTATTGGTTTAATCCAAACCAAACCAAACCAAACCGACTGGGTCTGACTTAGTTAGCAGTTCAACATAATGCATGAACATGAAAAAATATGGCTTTCACCATGAAGATGTGTCTGTTGCATTTTCAATGATGGGAGTGAGAGCAATTAACAATCAGAACTGTGTGTCCATTGCATACGAACCAGGTTTAAAGGCCACTGTGGACAGCTTTCTTTGATGTCTACCTTTCAGATTAACACTTCATTTTTGTAGAATTCATGCTAACATGTATACCTTCTTCAAACATTTCGTCTCACAACCAGAGCTTTGAAACACACCTTCGCATAACATGAAAGAGTTATAGAATGACTTTACCAATAAGCAAACAGAGAAAGATCCTACATCCTCCACCTTATTTTTTTCATGGAAAGATTCCCTCCAGCATGGCTAATAAATAGTTTAGCTCCGGAAGTTCATTCTCCCATAAGTTTCTCTAACAGACTCGATTACTTGATAGCCCAAAACAAAAACAACTAAATAGATAAACCATTGAGCAACCATCACGAGTTAAGTACACGCTACCACAAAATGCAGAAATGCCTTACCCTTATCCACTCTTTAATAGGCTCCAAAACAGAGCTCCTGTAATCATCGCCAGCAAGATAATCCACTTTTGCCTGCCATGGAGATAAGAAAGCTACAATGAAACCCAGAATAATTTCAAGTATGGAGAAGACTCGTATAAAATTAGTGCCATATACAAAAATATTAGAGAAATAGTATGAATCATAGAGAGAAGAAAAGGATTCTATGAGTGAGAACACAGCAGAAGCCCATTCACCTTTAGGAGTGAGAATATGGCAGAAGCATAGGCATCTTCGGCCATAGATGTAAACCCAAGACTCCTAAGATCAAGAACAACTTTCCCGATGTTTTTCACTAATTGATGGATATTAGAGAACTTCTCCAACTGATAGCTCTCATGAAAATCCCTTTGACCACTCTTGCTGGAGATTCTACCTTTTCCATCTAGATCCATATCATCTTTACATTGGGACTCATAATCTCCGTTTAATTCTCCGGCCATGACAACACTCAACTCTTCCAGCTTTCCCTTAAAATACCAGTGGAGTAAATCTAAAAACATTAAACTGTAAATTAAGGAAACATATAATTTTAATATTTTTTAACAAGAAACGGAACTTTTCATTGATAGGAGCATATTACTTAGAGGATACAAACTCCACAAATGAGTGATTAAAGAAGGCAAGAAAATGAAAAGAAAAAAAAAAAAAAAGACTACAAAGGTTTATTAAAAGCATGCCAATTAAGGTTATGTCTTGCAATGAAAAACTAGTGAAGTGCTTAAAAAGAGAAAACCAGGAAGAAGCCTGCAGACAAGTTTATTAAAAACGATCAAACAAAAACAATGGTTTGTTTTCAAAGATCCAATGATTCCACTTCAACCAAATCTCAGTTAATAAAGGTTTAACCACATTAATCCACAAAACATCACATTTGGAAGGAAGAACAGACCAAACCTTGAAACAATTTGGGAAAGACCACTTAAGATTAAACATCAAAAGAACCTTGCACCATTAAGCTCGAGAATAAGGACAATCGAAGAAAATATGTTCGATGGAGTGCCCAGCCACAAAACACAATGAGAAAATAGAGGGGAAAATGCAATTTGATGGCAACTTTCATTGGAGAACCTCGGAAATATTAAGACTTCCATTAAGCATAATCCACACCAAAATGCCAACTCCCTTGGGACTTTTTTATTTCCATAAAGCCACATAAACCTCCTTATCCAAAGGTGAAGTAGAATTCAGGTACCAAGTTAAGGATTTTACTGAAAAAAATACATGACGTAGACCATTTCCGAAAATCATCAACCAAACCAATAGACTTCAAAGAAGACAGCCCAAGAGAGATTGAAAATCAATGATTTCCTCATATTTTAAAATTCGTCTAAATATAAGATTCCATGATGTAGAAGAACCCCAATGAGCTGGAACTGATTCATTAGGATGTGTAAACAAAGCGAACAAATGGGGAAGTATTCTTTAAATGGCAATCATTTAGCATTGAATCATGCCCAAAAGAAGTCCTCATACCATTTCCCAAATTGAAGACCGCAAGGATTCCACATTGTTCCAAGTCTTTGAAATACTCATCCAAGGACTACGAAGACTCTTGATACTATTTCCAGCCACATGCTAATCAAAAACCAAGGCTCCATGCATTTTAACAATTACCTTTCGCCAACAGGAATTTGGTTAATAAATAAATCTCCAACCCCATTATGAAATACAGGCAATATTTCGAATATGTAAAGCATCAAGACCAAGACCTCCATCAGATTGGGCTGCCGAAACTAATTTCCATCTTACCAAGTGATTGACTTTCCTCACTCACTGTCTTTCGGAAAGAAAGATCACATTAATCTTTCTAAAATCATACTGACGTTCGAGGGCAAGGGAAATAAGGGCATATAATGCAATGGAAGGCAAGATAAGATCGAATTGCAAAAAGTCATTTGCCCTCCACAAGATAAATTGAAACGTTTCCAGCTATCAAGCTTATACTCAAATCTTTTCAAGCACTGGCTTCCAAAAAGAACTCCAATTAGGATGACCCCGAAGTGGAAATCCAAGGTAGAGAAAAGGCAGATACTCTACATTACAGCTCAATCGTGAAGACACTTCCTGAAATTTTTAATCCCCCATATTAATTCTGCAAACAGCTGATTTTTCCCACTAACTTTCTGTTCGGAACACCATTCGAACATCTCTAAGCTTTTGACCAATGTATCAAGCATATCATCATAATTACAAAAACAAAATGTCATCTGCAGACTGAAGAATGGATTCATGGACTTCTGTGTGCCTGGTGTTGGTTTTCTGATGCTTTTTAAATGGGTTTGAATTTCATGCAATGTTGAAGGGCTCTTCGAGGAATCATGTGTAGTAATGGCTTGAAGGTTGTGGAATCTATCTATTAGGTCTTGAGAATCTTTTCTGTTGATTTTGCACCAAGTTGCCTTGTGATTGATTTTCTTTGGAAGGTTTGAAGTAGCCATCAGATTTCAGAATTTGGTTGAGCATGATGCATTGATTCAACATTAGTTTGCAACTTCTCCAAGTCTTTCAGATATAGATATACTTTTTTAACGGGAGAAAATTTCTCATTGAACAAATGAAAAAAGACTAATGCTCAAAGATACCTACTCTGCAAGGGAGTGAAAAATAGAACTGACGGAATACAAAAGGAACCACTACAGAGAACCAAAAGAAAACAAAATACAGAAAAGAAACTTCCCCAACAAGAAAACACCGAGTGAACCACACAAATAGAAACTAGTAAAGAGAAAGATGGAAAAATTAATCCCCAAGACTGAAGGCTGCAATCTGTACAAGAACCAAAAGCTTCGGACGAGCTAAGCTTCAACCAAAAGGAAAAACCACCAGGGAGAAAAACAGAACTAAGCCCCAAATTAACAGGCGAGAATCAATGAACCCAAATTGCAAACTCAAAAGAAATCAAACATCAACAACAAATGCCAAGAAATTTTAAAGGAGGAATTGCACACATCTTGAGACCAACAATCTTCAATAAGAGAAGCAAATTTGCAAGCTAATGAAAGAAGAGGATGAGAAATCTTGTCATATTATAATTATTTCTTAAACCAGAAATGAAAATTTTTCCTCGAGTTAATAAAAAGAATATAATGCTCAAAGGATACAAGCTCCACATAGAATTGAGAAGAAGCAACAAAGTTTAATCCATTTAACAGTATCTCCAAGAATATGCATACGCGCATTTTCAATCCAAAGCAAAACTTTATTAACCATAAAACAGATTTATTGAACAAGCTACATTAAAAGATTTTTCTAACTCCAGCGAAATTATGCTCCATTGATCAAGAACCTTCCCTTGCAATGACCATCGCTAAGTTCCAAACAATTTCTACAACTCTTTTCCTTTTTAACCCAATAACACTATGGTGGGATATTTGGAAGCCTAGAACAAGGCAAAAAATCCATTACAACTTCGGAATAATGGTTTCCATTAACCAACTCAAAATATGAAACTTCCTCCTCATCATAACACCCAACCAAACAATTTATCAAAGCATCATGAATCATTTTTCAAAAAACCAACCAGCTCCTTTTATTTATACCAACTTAAACCATAACTACCGGTCTAGTGTCAAAAGGTTTTAAACAATACATTCAAGAATCCATTCATAGCAATTCGACTTCTTACATAATCAGAAAATCAAAGTCGGCTCTTCTTTTATGTTCTTGGGCTTATTCCTAAAGGGCAAGATTGTTGATTACTTTTGGGATTAGATGGTGCTTGCCTAAAAGAAAAGATGAGGCTCTTTTCAAACTTATTATGGGATCTTTCTTCAAGGATAAAAGTCGTATTTCGAGGTTTGATGCTATTTCGGCAACGTTGTAGAAACTTTGGCTTGAGAGGAACCAGGGAATCTTTAAAGAGAACACAATTAGCATTGATGGGTTGTGGGAGTCCATTAAACTCTTTGCCTCCATCTGGTGTTCTCTCTCCAACTTATTGTAATTATGACCCTGTGCATATCTCGGCTAAGTAGGTCTTTTTTGTAACCTTTTAGCCAGAGGGGGATATTTGGTCTTCCCTTTTTTGTATGACTTTTTATGTCAAGTCGAAAGAAAACTGTAAAGAAAAATATATTAACAATATATTCAACCTGAAATTGCTTTTTACAAGCTAAGGAATTAGATATCTTGTTGTATCTACCAACTACAAGTAAAACGAATTCATGCCCCCACTGAGTTTTTGGCAATCCATGGTAAGTCTCCCAAATGGATAAAATCTTATTATTTTTGTCTTGAATGTTTATTTCAGCCTTGTAGTAAAAGTATTAATGAACTATACTGCCAATTCCTGGAGTATTGGTATTAAATGCAAAGGTGAAGTTTTCCATTTTTTTAGAACATGGAAAATTGACAATTGTCAATAGTCTTCTAATCATTTCACAAGTTTATACACTCAATTCTTTCATGTGTTGTAGTGAAGGTATAAAGATCCAAAGAAATATATAAGACTCAAGTAAGAAATTTGAACCTCACCCGGAAACAAGTCGCAAGGCGTAAGCATCAAAAGTCTTCAAAACATTTGAAAATTAGAAAATTTCTATCAAGTACGAAAGATAAAGATTGATCCATGTAATGAATTAGAGCAATTAGTGGAATATAGGTACCAGGAAAATGCCGAGGAAGTGTAGCCATAAGAACTGAGGAAACAAGTAGTTGATACTTTGCAAAGACACGAACTACTTCAGTTTCAGCGTCATATTGACGTCCTTTCTCCATTACATCATATTTGTACGACTGTAAAACATGAACCAGTATTGACAAGAACTCCTCCTGGCATTTCTTTTTCATGGAGACCTCTTCTAAAGCTTTACATAGCACTTCTCGAACTTCCTCTTCCGAATGCTGTATTTTAAATGGTTAACATATGCTAATTCACGAAAAGTGCTAGTTTCTCAACCTAGCACCAAGCCATGTTTAGAAAAAATCACAAACTAAAAAGTAAGCAAATTCAAACAAGTCATTAATGGATGGGAGAGCTTTGTGCCAACATACAGGTGGGTTGCAGGTGTTTAGAAGTGCAATATTCTGGTAAGCGTCGAAATGCCCCCAAAATTCCATAGCACCATTTGTCTCGAAATTTTCCTGAGACCCAAAACACCATATGCTGGGCTAAGACAAATGTCATAAACTGGTGAGCTAAATCGTTAGGTTAAAAAAAAAAGAACCGCATTGCAAAGCAGGTAAAAGACCTCTAGGGCTCGAAGGAAGTGATTGAGGACAAGAGATTCGAGGCCGTGCTTGCAGAGGGATTGTACGTGAGCAACGAACTCCGATCGCAATGATAGATTTCCAGTGTCGTTGAGAAGCGCCTCGGTAGCAGCACAGAATTGGGCGTAGATATTGAGAATTTCTTGAATTTCATCGTCGCTGAGGGAATCGAGAGCCCCTAAATCACACAAGATAGAGCTGGATTCCTCCATGATGCTCTGGAGGTACTGGTTTTGCTACTTGGAAGTGAAATGGAATGAGCTCTGGCCGAAGACCCTTTACAGGGTTTTTGTTCTCAGTGGAGGGTTTGAAAGGTACCTTTGGGCTTTGCCGCCATAATATTAATTCATCCCTAATGTAATTAGTAAACATAAATATATTATTTTAATCAATACATTATAATTAATGTATTATCTTAATTGTTTATTATAAAATATTAAATATTAAATATTAATATTTTCATTAATTATACTTGTTTAATTATTTTTATTAACTATATTAAATTAGTTTATTGCAATATTATTTTTAATTGATGAATTCAAATATTTATTTATTTGTATTAATTAATTAATATAAAAAAATATTAATTAATATTCATACCTCTTCAATAATATTTGTGATCCAAACCCATATATTTCAAAATTTGAACTACTTTTATAATTTTTTTAGTTTTTTTAGGCGGACTCAGTGACACAACATGTTAAAATTTGAATAATGGAGGGTTTTACTCTTAAAACTCTATTGAGCTAATTTCATGAATATTTGTGTGAATAGGAAGAACGAGTAAAAAAAAATTTAGATGTGTTATTTCTCTGTAAAGGAATTGAGAGCTGAAAATTATTAGAAACCTAGTATCTAATCCGGCTTATAAAATGTAAGAATACTTAGAAATTTTGAAATTTCAATCACCTTATTCATAACAAATCAGAGCTCGTGCCTCATTCCAATGTGTTTCAGTAGTTGTAATAAGTAATGTTGTAGGAGTCGAAGGCTAATGACCTCTACATCAAGGGAATTCGAAGGAAGTGAGTTTCGGGTAAGAAATTGACTATGTTTCTGTCATTTTCAAATATACTGCAAGTCATTGGATGAGATTTAATCCTATGTTTTCGCGAAGATTAAAGGAACAAGAAGAACTTTTAGAGATTGAAAAGTTATGTTACGGAGAAATCAATGAAATTAAAAAAAACAACTTGGGAGCGTGATGATGAGATGAGAGACAACTTGAATTATTATGCGGTTAGGAACTTTCCGAGACAAAGTTTGAAATTGTAAAATCCAATGTAAAAAGTTGTTTAATAAATATTAGTGTCGGATGAAATTAGCTCAAATTCGTGAGGTTTGGTAGATGTTTATGAGAAATCGTCAAAGGATCGCCATAAACAAAAGAAGTCGTCCATGAATACCTCCATAATTTTTCTGAATGTTGTTGGCGCATTGCTCCGTCCAAACAGTATCCTCCTAAACACAAAAGTTCCGTAAGGACAAGTGAATATAGTTTTCTCTTGATCTTGAAGGCAGATTCTTATTTGATTTTATCTTAAGTACCCATCCACGAAATAGGAAACATTGGCTTGCGCTCCAAAACTCGATTGCCTTTTCCCACAAATATGGGAGGATAACTGGGTTTGGGCTACGCTAGCGGATTGATGGCGTTTGAATTCTTCCATGAAAATTTTGGGTGGGTCCTCCATCATGAGTTGTATGTAAGTTCCTCATCACAGTATCGAATTGGTGCCATAACTACAACTTCATCCGCTACTTCAACCATGCAAATATTCACTTCTGAAGCTCCAAAATGGTCCTTCCTCAGTTGAATCAACTTGTAATGCATGAAATAATGGTTGAACCAAATCTATCCAATTTTGTATATGAAGAATGAATGCTGATTGAATGTTCTTGGCCTTGGATCCTGTAATTTGTCCAGTTGGAACATTTGGAACATCGTGATCATTACCAGGTGTCATAGCCCGTTGACAATTATTCAATACTATCCTTTCTAAGATTTCACAAGGTTCCCTATAAATTTTTGATAGGATGGCATCTACTACTTGCTTGGTGTATTCTACTGTCCATTATAGAATGTCTCCATCGGTTCTAAATTTGACATTTTTTTAGGGTGAAAAGTATTTACCTAGAAACATTTTCCACCAATGTATTTCACGAATTGATTATTTCGAGGGGTAGAGTGTTTAACCAAGATTTTGTTGCATCCCTTAATGAATAGGAGAATAGACTCCATCCGACCAAATCCTTATCAACCCGTTGGAAACTAAAGAAATCTTGTTTGCCGCAACACTTCGGCCAAACGCAAGAGACGGGAATTATGCACAAAAGACTCCTTTTGCAAAATCAGAGACTATGTTCTCTCTTCCGCCCGAGCTCTACACCTAGAAAAGATTTTAAGTGTAAATGGTGATCCTCTGAAGGTAACCCGAACTGTCTGATTGTTTGCAATATTTGAAACATCACTAGTTTTAACTCGAACGTGGTAGCTTGTAATTCTCGCAATTTCATGCCTCTGCAAGTGGAATTCTAGCTTATGCTTTCTAGTCCATATGTCCTTGTTGAGTATTGTTTGCTCTAACTCTTTGTTCACGTAGTCTTTATCACAGTTCTTTTTTAATCTTAGGATTAAACAGGAATTCTAGTCCAAGTATCGTTTATATGTTCTCGTTGCATTTTGCTTTTATACCTAACTTTTGGTTCTAAAAAAGAATTTGAGACAAAAATTCAATTGAAATCCCTCCATCCATAATTGATTGCTTGTAAAGGTATTTAGAAAATGGTATAAAAATGCACAAGAACAAGTAAATTATCGTTTCTACAGGGTATTATGATGAATTCTTTACTGAATGGATTAGGAATTACAAGTTAAGTACCAATAAACGGTTGGATGGGTATGGCAATCTAGAGGAGGTGGATATGATTTTAACAATAAAATTATTTAAACGTGATTACTTTTTCTAATTATGAAAATTTTTAAATAAATATATTATAATAATTAATACAATAAAATAGTACAACAAAGAACCATTAAAAAAAAAAAAAACTTAGAACATGTAATAAATCTTAATAACAGTTTCGAAATTAAATAAGGAAAGTTAGAAAATATAACGTAGTTTTATAGTGGTTCGGTCAAACTTGATCTACTCCACTCCCCCAGCGAATTTAAATAAACCTTTCTCGACTCTCTCCTCGGATCAGAGCCCAACTGCTACACCGCTCTTTTTACGAGTTCAAGAGCAAACTCAATCCTTTCCACGACTTACTATCAAATTGGTACAATTATCTGAATTTTGTAGTAACACACTACAACTCTCTCCAGAATAAGATAAAAAAGAAATAAACTTCGAAGCCTTGTAGATGGCAACAATGGAGGCTAGAGAAAAATTTAGATGGAAGAAATTATGGGAGTTGTGTGTTGTGTTCTGAAAAAATATGGGGAAGAGATGAGTTAAAATAGTGATCAGATGACCCGATACCCAGCATCTTTAGCCCACTTGTAGCGGCCCAAACTCGAAGCCCAAGCTCAACCCAGCCTCGCAACTTGCAACTCAAGCGCCTGAAGTAGCCGACCCGACTCCCGCACCTCGACCTAGTTGTGACCTACACACGCGTCACCTTCTCTATGTGCCGCGTGTCGCGCCTGTAAATAGCAACCCCTTCATTCAGTCGGCTTGACTTTGGCTCGTCACAGCTTCTTGACTTGGTTTAAGAAAATTTCACCGTTTCTCCTTTTTCAATCGTCTCGAAGCTAATTTTGACCTTACCGAAGGTGAGTAGAATGCCAAATTTCTCAATTCAATTTAAATTTGATTAGAAAATTAGGATTATCAAGAGTATTGAGCAAATGTCTTATAGGAAACATCTTAACTAAGCTTGGAATAAAATTCGAAGGACGAGCTCAATAAGTTATTTTAGGGAGAACGCCGTCTAAGGCCAACTAAATAGGTGGTCTTATTATCGGTTCGGTTAGAACTTGTATGTTGTAGATGACACGTACCCCATGGCTTTGCACGTGTCATATGCTTGACATATACGAAGGTTATGACATGATATGTTCACGATATGATATGTGAATGGTATAATATATGTTATAATATGATACGCATGATGACATGTTTGTGATATGATATGTGAATGATATGATATATGTTATGATGTAATGTGATTGACAATACAACACATCTTGTGACATAATATATGATATAATATGTGCATAGTATGATATGATACGTTGGAAAACACAATATGTTAAGATATGACATATGTTTTACATGATGAAAATTATGATATGATTGACGTGAAATATGATGTTTCGGCATAATGCACAACCCCGATATATGCATGAAAAGTTATGATAAAATGATATGATGTAAAGGAAAGCGGAAGGGGTTGTTGCACGTGATAATGAAAGGAAAAATATTGGGACCTCATGCCTCATTGTGTGTGCATGCATTAGGGAATGCCCCTCTTTTTTTATGATGACACAGACGTGTACACTATGAGGCAGGAAAATGATCTTTATATTTATTATAATGCTACGATAGTCGTTATTTCTAACGAGTGTCTGGCAACAACAACTCCGGAGAATGCTAGCTAACTAAGACAGGGGCCCAGGACGTGTGCGAACCAACTGGTGGGTCCATACTCGCACGTGTGGATCGTGTGTAGAATAGTAATACACATCAAATTAAGATAGTTGCCTAAGGGAATACAGACTGATATGATAGGTCTCACTCATGATTGCATGTACTTGCATCTAACCCAAATAACATGGTCACTTACTACGTATTTCTTAAAATAATCAAACCATGTGCTATTCTTATTTTTCAAGCAAAGGCAAGGCTCTCCTGTATGGCTGACAGTGATATCGCAACTCAGGAGACCATGACACATGCATAAAGTAGTTTACAATTTAAATTTCGTAGACTATAGATTAGTTTAAATTAATATGCCTTTAAATTTGTAACATATAGGTTAGTATAAAGCATTTCTACCTTATTTTATTTCAATTTTTATTATTTTATTTAAAGACCTTCTAGAAAGCATGCAAATCGATGGTTATGTTTTTATGATAAAGTTTTGAATGACATATTTCCGCACATTACGCATGAATAATCTTAAAAAAAAAGAAAAATACAACTATCATTGACAAGATGAGAATAGCTTAACATGACAAACCCTTCCCCACGGTTTAGCTAGAATATGACCCTTGCTTCAGTAATCTCTCGGGTTGGATCTGGATCGGATACCCAACCGCTAACCCAATACCCAACCTCTCTATCCACGACCCAAAAACCAAGTCTCGGCCCAACCTAAAAACCTGCATCCC